CTGACGCTAAACGAGTCAAGAGCACGACTTGCATATGGGGAACCTGAGCCGGTCGAGCAGTATCGTCTTCACGCGACTAAAAATAGATCATACGCGGTTGACACACGGACACCTGCAAAAGCCCGCGCAGATGCCCTTTAAGAAGAGAAAGGTTTCTCGATGTGTCCCACTTAATAGAAGCTTGTCGTGACTTGGCTTCATATGGAGAGCTTGTTTCTCGAGCATAGTAGTGGGTTTGTAGGTCTGCTGTTCCGGTTTTTAGAGGAAGTGATTTTTTATTGTATATAGTTTGTTTTTGTTTTATGCGTTCTGTGGTTCTGTGTATTGTTTGAGAGCGCATATTTATTGGTTTTGATGATGAGGGCCTGATGGTGAAATATTGAGTCAACATCGTCCCTTCAGTGGTGTGTGTGTGTGTGTGTGTGTGTGTGCTTAAGGTGGATGGAGGAATATTTATGAAAGAACTCCATTGACCCTAATTTAGGTTAGCTTATTACTATTGTGTGCAGGTTGATACTGGAATATCGAGTACTCCACCGATAAACAGAATGCTTGACATTTACACAGGTGTGAATATATTTATTTGTGCGATTGTATTCTGTGTGTTAGTTTAGGTTAGATTATATTTGCCATTCATTCGCGGCTGAAATACCAAGCTGCGGAATGTCCTTGAGACCTAACTCCGTTGGGCGGGTAGTGAAGAGGATTTTGCTCAAGGTCAGTCTTAGTGGCCCAGTCGGAGTGACCCTGTAGGTGAACTCCCGTAAGGATAGACCCCAGGATCAGCAACTCAGGGAATGTTTAAAAAAACATGAAATAATAATTTTATTTTTCGATATTGTTTTTTAATTGCAGTGTATTGTAAAATAGTACGGTGTACACGCTACTCTTCTAGAAAAGAGCTATCCTTTTAATATATCGTTGATCGGCTTTTGGTAATATTTAACCTTAGATAAATCTAAAAATACTTTATAATTAAAAAAAAATACATTTCCCATCAAGTTCAATTGTCACTTTTAACAGGCGTAATGATCAATATTCTTTTACAATTACTTCTACTACATTACTTCTATATTTACTTCTACTTTACTTCTATAATTACTTCTACAATTACTTCTATTACAATCTATCCTTTCTTACGTCTGCTCTCAATAATTACTTAAAAAATATACATGACGATAAAGTAGTAATTCATTTCTTGTATTTGCATTTTTTCATTTATGGTTATGTAGGTATGGAGAAAAAAAGAATACGAATTTTAGGATGGCGCAACAGTTAGGCGTTGACACGGCACAAATCACCTGCATTCGAACCCGACATCCTTACAAATGGTTTTTTTAAAAACCAAGGCACCCCGAGGATTGATATGACCTCTGGTTAAAAAAAGTTACGTTTTACCTTGTTCGGGCTTGCACGTTTTTAATTATAGAGATTATTATTTTATCTAGCTGGACACTCATGGCATCAGTTGAATTGAGGTTGTGTCCAATGTTGCAGATACCACGGTAATAAATGGACGACACTTCCGACACTCTTCTCTTCCGTTTCTGTTCTTGACTCTCTCTCAAACTTTTGCGATATTGCGACACAATCATTTTTCTGGAAAACCATTCGGTCACAATATCTTCGTCTCATTGGGAAAGTTCACTTCTTCTACCTTTCGCCCCTGCCCTTCCAAACCCCCTACCCTATTGTCTTTCTGATTTTTCACCTCTCGGCCAAGTGCCCTCAGTTTTAGTTTCACATCGATTACGTTCACAGGAATTTTCTGAATATATTTTTTTGCCCCTATTTATGTATATTATATATTTTTTTCAACAATGCGGATGTGTACAGAATTGAGCTAAATAAATTAGCATTCAGTATTTATTTTAATATTTGGTTATTATGTTTTAACATACTTAATGAACACTTTTTGTGAAAAATCAATTTTAAATTAAATGCAACTTTGTTTTTCTCCTTCCATTTGCTTATTTCTGCTGAAAATTATTTCTTAAGAATGTACTGTCACATTTTGAACGGAATTAGAGCAGCTTAAATGGAGCAAGAGCGATTAAAAACGTTCGATGTACGATGCAAAATAAATCAGGCTGAGAGGAGGTCATGTGGCAGCCGAGAATGTAAGCAGGGAAACTCGTTTTACTATCCTAAAATCAGTCCTAAAAGATTGTATCATAACATTTTTCAAACATTTACAATCAGCATTTTAAATTCTGATACTTTTTGAATTTTTAAAACTAACGATAAGATTGGAAAATGGGATAAAGCATATATAAATATTTATGCAAATGTCACGGACCAGGGAGGCCCTCGACAGAAGTAGACCCCGTAAACACAGGGAGTAGGAACTCCCTTTCAACCGGAAGGGCCTCTGGAGGATTGAGTAAACCGAGGACGCAGGTCCATAATAATGTATACGGATATTTCGAGAAAGGGAGTCAGGCTAGGAATAATTTTCATATAACATTCATTGGTCTGTGAATTCGGGTGCAGTAGTAATTCGGGTTTTATTTGTTATGTTCAAAGGAATATATTTTGTTTTTTAATTTTTAGTTGGTGTCTAACTAACTGTAAAAATAAACACTATGTTGGAGCGTTTACAAACAGAGCTGAAACCTTTTTTTTGACAAATATATAGAACTGCGTGTTTTAGAATAATTTAAAAATTTCAATCATATTCTTTTTATGACAGAATAAAGTTATAAAATGGCAAGAATAATGTTTTAACATTAATAATATAAAATTAAATACGTTTTTAATGAACAAACTTGTGCTTTTTTAGAATATCCTTTCTGCCAATTCGTCTGCTTTAATAAATTCAATGAATTATTGAAAACAGTACTTAAAAGGAAGCTTCTTAAGTATAAAATATTGTTGAAAACGATCTGAAAAGCATTAAACACGCTTAACAATAATGATTTTCGGGAACCATTAGATAGAATGGTACTTGAATTGCTCTTCAAATAATGATTACAGAACATTCTTGTTTCAATTAATTTATTTTAACAAATATACCAGCTATGTTTTCATTGCTGAACATTTTATTATGAGACTTTTGGATCACAAGCAACCATTTTATTCATAAATGACCAAACAGCTTTTAGTCAGTCTTTAACATTTAAAAACTAATTAGTCGATCTTTACTTCAATTCTATTACTTTATACGTACAGTTAAAATTGCAAAATAAGCTATCTGAAGCAGATATTTTTAGATTTTATTATTTTCCGATGTAAAATTTATATATATATATATATATATATATAAGGAGAGATAGATAGATAGATAGAGATAGATAGATAGAGAGAGATAGATAGATAGATAGATAGATAGATAGATAGATAGATAGATAGATAGAGAGAGAGAGAGAGAGAGAGAGAAAGAGAGAGATTGGGAGAGTGAGAGAGAGACATAGAGAGAGAAATTCCCGGTAATTAAAAATTATCATTTTAAATTTTTAAATTTAACCTTGTAAATTAACAATGGTAGTTACAAAGTCCTGATGAAATAGATATATTCCTTGAAATCTCGACTTGAATTGATGACTTAAACCCATTAAGTAACCCAATCCCACCGGTCCTACATGAAAAAATATAATATTGAAGTTTGAGCTTGATACGATTTTTTTCTGAACATAGTCAATGCAAAGAGAGGTGATATTAGATAAACGTTTGATTTTTTATTAAAAATCGTCGACCCACACTTCTGATTAGTACAGTAGAGTAGTAAAGTAATGTTTTCACATATTGGGTATATTTTAATATGTGAGACTTTAGTAATGCTGTGAATAAAGAATAAAGGATAATCAGCAATGTTGACAAACACAGCCAAAACTCTAGTTACGACCCAGACAGCACTTCATTCCACAGCTATAGTTATTGAGAGTAAGGGCGAGGGATGAAAGAGAGAGGAGAAAAGAAAAGAGAGAGAGAGAGAGAGAGAAAGAGAGAGAGAGCGAGAGGGGAAAAGGGAGAGATTCAGACAGTCAGACAGATAGATAAAAAGACATATATGCAATAATAATAATAAATCAAATCCAAATGTTGTAATTTTGGGACTTCTGGCATTCAAATTAACCATTGTAACAATAAATTTTTTTAAAAGTTTTTTGCCAGTCTATTGTTTTTTACAAGTCATTTAGTTTTTAATTTATTATATTGAATTATATTTCATTCTGTGGAATAACCTCTAGAAACGTTGGGGGGATCTGTGGCTGCAACGATTTAGGCGTTGAAACGGCGCTTATCTGTAAGGTAAACGTCCCGGGTTCAAATCCAACGGCCCTGCATTCCAACTCAACATAGGTATAAATGGGCATTTTTCCAAAACCCGAAATTGATATAACCTCTGCTGTTGCGAACCCTCGTTTTAAGAAATATATATCAAAACCAACACTTCCGCAGCACTCGCAGGTCGTCCAGGTTTAATCTACTCAACAAAATTATTAGGCTTAGAGGAAACGCCTTCCCATAAAAAGTCTCTCTCTCTCTCTCTCTCTCTCTCTATATATATATATATATATATATATATATATATATATATATACATCCGCATCGAAATCTTGTACTTTTCGGAACGATCCGACCGTTTTTTTGCAAGTCTATTATTTTGTACAAGTCATTTATTTATTATATTGGATTATGTAAGTATTGTACATATTATGTAAGATTGTAATTTATTTTGCAAAATACACATTTCACATTCAATTTTAAACATTCTTTGACCTTAGGAATAGTAAAGGTTTTCATTGTTTATTGAGTGAGGTATGTAAGGTTAAATTTATATTTTATGATAATGTTTAAAATATTGTAAGTGCATTAATGAACCTATGAGCCTAAGAAACAAGTTGTCGAAAAGTTCCACCACACTGAATGCAGATATATAGTAAATATAGTATTGAGCTCTGTTTTAAATTATTACATTGAGATGCTGTTCTGTTGTTGGGTTTAGTAAAATAGGATCACATACTCTATCAAAAGTTTTAAAAAAATTGTGAATTTACCTGGTATTGTGTGCAGTTGAAGCAGTGCCAGCAGCAGCTCTCCCCTTCAACGTATTTTTTAGCTTGGCCCACTTCGCAGGGGAGAGAACAGACGGACTCAGGTGGACGTGTGTGGAGCAATTTAAACTGTATCTCTGAAACCAAACGGGCGCAATGAGATTACATTCTGAAAATATGGTGAGTTTAATCCCATTTTTCTTCCGGACATACCAAAAAAACCCCAAATTAAGTTGTAAAAAACGTTTCACCCCTTACCACCAGGCAACATTTAAAACTTCCGTCAGCCGTTTCAGGCACGTATTTCTTAGGAAACGTTTTTTTTGTAATCGAATCACAGCAATTGTGGGGGTTGGGAGCAACAGGCAATTGGGGGTTGGCCCATCGGGATTATCGACCATTCCGCTCCTCTTCACTAATCAAACAGCATCTAAGTTTGGCCAAGTTTCAGTGTCTTTCCGATGAAAATTATATGTATCATTGATATTAAATTTATGTTGTTTTATTGAAAAGTGATAAATTTAACCTTGGGTCATTAAAAAAATCTATACACCTTATACTTAATACTTTTATTTTTCAATGAACTGTAAACACTTTTACGCGTAGTATTTGTCCCTTTTGCTTTTAAAAATTTGCAAATGCAAAGTGACAGTAGAACCAAATCTTTTGTTCTCGAAGAAAAAAAATCGTATTCCACTTTGTTCTTTTAACTCGTCCCATTTTTGGCAAAAAATTCCTGAAGGAAGTAGTCTGATTGTTCTGGACATTAATATTCGAGAGAGGAACAATTTTAATTTTCTCCGTTTCTAAAAGGTTTTGTAAATCGGGAAGCGTGGGACGTTGAATCAAAGGGCACATTCATTCGGGCTACTACCGGGCGGTGTTTAGAGAAAACAATAAAATACGTAAATCATTTTCCTAATGATCTTGAAAAATTGTCAAAAACTGAGGTGGTGAATTTTTATTCTGCCTTAAATTATTTCGCATCAGGCAAAAGGCAAAATCTAGTTCTGGATAACCGAGAATGACGAAAAAAATATTGTCTATTAGTTAATCATAAACCCAGCATTTTACATAAACTGTATGTTAATGTCTTGAATATTAAAACAATATCACTAAAATATCGACAGCAATGAATAAATCTATTTCTATTATTGTTTAGAGGAAAAAATATTATACACATCACGCCAAATCCCCCCAAACAAGTTTTACAAAATATCAGTACAATTAAGTTATATTTAATCGGTTTTCACTTCTTTTTTAGATTTTTTAAAGAATCCTTAAATGAAATGAACAAAATTTAAACTGTTCTAAATACTGTTTTAATTTTGCAAATATAATAGCGGATAATAATCGGATAAAAACATAGAATTCAACTTCAGTTAGAAACGTAGAACATTGCACCAGACTACTCTCAAATTAATTCAATATTTTTCAAACATCTACCATGTAAAGTTTAAAAAACAGATAAAATAACGCTTACATCTGTGAAATAGGGGGTTCTTAATGTATAGCGAGATGAACAAACACCTCCTCCATAAAAATTAACTGTTTTGGCGTTTGCTTGGAAAGAATTTAAAGATATTTTGTGTTTATAATCTCGTACCCAGCCCCCTGTAAATCCAAATTTAGGGGGTAAAAGTATAGTGGAAAGCCCAACGGAATAATTATCTTTTCGCCATTAACATTCCTGCTCCCTCTTTTAATTAAATAAGAAACGTTTTGCCTTAAAGTTCATTCGTTATGTAAAAAAAAAAAATTGAAGAAAAAACTAAGAACAAACAAAGAGTATAGAATATTCTGAATAAATTAATTGTAGAAACTATGAAATTGCTTTAATCAGTGAAACACTTTAGAACATTTACAAAATATCAAACGTGGACTGGCAAATTGATTATGATTTCTATTAACAACTGCCCGATGAAATCGATAGGATTAATTTTATATAAGCAGCGCCAACAAAAATTAAAACAGAAGAATAAGTTTAGATTAACCTTAAAATGTGGGATCTGTTAACGACTATTCAGATATATACGAAACAAATCTCACATGAAAGAAAATAAGATACATTTAGATACATAAGATCGAGATATAATAATAATAAACAGCAATAATGAACTAAAGAAAAAAATCATAAAACTCTTAAATATACATCCAAAGGCAAAAACCGGATGATTGTATTTATTTGTTGGTTTAAAACAATTTATAACATTTATAACTTGAACATAATTAACTTGTTTTTTAACTACATACAGTTTAACTAACCCTTTTACATTCTATAGATTAAAAATAAATAAAATCAGTTCAATTGCATCTTGTCCAGAGCCAACTTGGCGATTGAGTTAATTAGTTTTTTAAATTGTTTTGTTTAGAAATGTGTGGTGATTAGTGATCGTTAGTCGATGATTATTCAGAAATCGTGAGATGCGGTCTGGTGTGATGTAGGTTTCAGAAAAAACATGTTCTTTATCGTGCCAACGTTTCGATCTTTATTGAGATCATCTTCAGGGCTCAATAAAGATCGAAACGTTGGCAAGATAAAGAAAATGTTTTCCTGAAACCTACATCACACCAGACCGCATTTCACGATTTCTGAATAATCATTGTTTTGTTTTATGAAACAAATTTGAGTAAAAATTAATGATTATTTTTTCCTTAAACCATGACTTTTAGTCGAGATATGGCCTGGCCAGATGCTTTGGCCAACGATGGACGTTTGGATGCTGTTACGTAGCCCAAGTCCGGGTGTGCCGCGCTTTACCATCCACTCTGGTCTACAACGGTCTAGGGACAACGGAAGTCTCGATCGAAGAGAAGGTAGTGGTCAACCGGCGATGTACGCTAGAGGTGATCGTTTTATTGCCCTTACCACATTACAGAACCGTCATCAACGACATCCTTAGAGCCTTGAGAAATGTTATCATTGTAGGATAACAAATAAATTATCAGGTTTTTGTTTCATTATATCGAATTCTTAACCGCTTGATGAATTTAATAAGCTGATTACAGATGTTAAAATAAAATTGGAAAATCTAACGGGGGGTAAATGACCACTGCCACCCTTGGGAATTCCTAGGCCAAAGAAGTTTTCTTTTATAATTGCGATACAATTGTGCGGTTTTATTGTAGTTTCCTTTAAATGAATTTCATACTGTTTGATTTCATTAGATCTGTATTGCTGGAAACGACATGAACATGTCTCAGTGCTGTCTCTTGCAATTCCTTAACCAGATTCTCTTTTTGGCATATAAGCGGTCTGATGTAAAAATTAAATTTATGTTTGATGTATAATATTGGCCCGACTCAACCGGATGTAAAGGATATAATCTACGATCAATCCTTTCAAGCCCCGCCCCCAAGACAAAGAGTTCCTTGAATAGGAAATGAGTTTTCGTATAATTTTTTTGTCCCGGTGTAAGCTATATTGTTTTTGTTGTCAAGGAAAACACCCGTCAAAGTCTTTTAAGAAGACTGTTCCATAGATACAACTTGGACGAGGAGTTTAATTTTCCGACTTTTCCAGACAGTATAGCCCGATCCCCCATTTTTTCATACAACTGTCTCCTTTGATATTCCTCTACGTTTAAATCCCCACACGGAAAATCCCGTTGTTACGTAATTCATTTCGTTTTCTTTTCACCTGACATACTGAATATTTCGCCCGAAGCGAAAGAAATTAAACCAAACGAGGATCAGCGATTCTGTAAACCTTTTAATTTTTTTGCGAATAATACTAGAAAGAGTCGTCAACGAAATACTTCGCCGTACTTTTTGACTAAATACAATATATCAGGCAAACAGGGTTATGATTTGCTCAATATGTTCAGCCTATTGATCTTCTTTTGAAATTCTATCTCATCCTATCCGACTGTATCTATTGACGTTCTTTTTTGTTTAAATCATTGTGCCGAGGCTGATATGATGAGTCAGGTGCATCGATGTTCCCCCGTGTCAGCAATGATATATAGTGCCTTTCGTCATATAGGAAAAACGACCCCATTTCTATTCATTAATACACGTCACCCTGGATTGCATTCAGTAGGCCGTGTTGAGAACAGTATTTCATGGGATTGACCAAGAAAAATCTCTATTTCCATCAATCTTTGGGTATGCCCACTTTAAAAATGACCATTCAGTTGAAAATTGGATCGAGCACTGACGATGGCGAATAGCCAAACGCGTCTGACAAACAAAACAGCAAAGATATTCAGTCTAAAATTATCGGAAACGACCAAACTACGATCACTCCACAGTCAAGAGGTCTTCCCACAGTATTAACAACCCGGGGATCTAAGTAAGTTTTGAAACAAAAAAAGATATTCCGTACGTCGTATAGAGGACCATAAAATATCCCTGTAAAAACTTTAGTTGGATTTTATCAAATTAGATTTCGTTAATTTGCCAAAGCTCTTGTGGCATAACTGGCATCACTGGCTTTAAATCGTATTTGTATTTTTACTTATAAAACAATATTAAGCAAAAAAACTTAAATTCTATTTTATATTAATCCATTAATGTTTAGGGGCCTAATTGACCACATTAATTATTTATTCTTTTTATGTAAGGTCTTGGTTGATATGAAAAAGTTAGGGTCACGAGCGGAATTCGAACCCACGACCTTCGGCTCCATACGCCGCTGCTCTAACCACTTGAGCTATCGTGACTTCGATCCACTCGGCCACCAACTTTCCATCTCAACCTACAACCGTTCGAATTTTCCCTCTTTTTGCCATTTTTAAAATGTGAAATCAGGATTCGATTTTCAGCGACTTATGAAGTGGCCACGGGGAGCTGTTAGTGAAGTGATACTTCTTTTACTTATTAAATATTAATCCATTTATGTTTTAGTGGCCAATTGGCGAAGTTACTTCTTTCAATTAATTATTCTTTTTATGTAATGTATTGGTTGAGATAAAAAAGTCTGTGCCACGAGCGGGATTCGAACCCACGACCTTCGGCTCCATACGCCACGGCTCTAACCACTTTAGCTATAGCGACAACCATCTACTTAGACACCAACTCCCCATCTTAACCTACAACCTTTCGCGTTTGGCTCTTTTTGCCATTTTTCAATTGTCGTCTATTTATTTATTTACGGTTTCCTAATTACAAATGTATACAATAAAAGTATTAAGAT